ATTATATCGTGCATCCCTAGTAATGATCAGTGTGTATACATTCTGCAGCAATGGTGCAGAATCATCCCTTTCATTGTTTAATTTTTTTTCATGTTTAGCAGTCACTTCAAAAAAAAAATTAAAATGCATAACAATGTTTTTCTAGATTCTCCTTAAACTTCAGAGGCAGTTTTAACTCCTAGATCGGTTTAGCTAACATGGTCCTATATATTTTTCTTTCACTTCAAATGGAAAACACCAGTAGAAATGTTCAAATTAAAAACCTCAGACACCATCATTATTATTTTTTCCTGCTCTAAATTGACTCTGAACACTGAAGCAACAAACAGGAGTTGTTTGAGGTCGTTCTCCCTCCTCTGAGATGACCTCTCCTGCTGCGGGACTGGACAGGAACAGGCCAGATGGACGGTCCAAAAGGAGTTTGTGGCCCAAAGTCGTATTTTTAATGAAGGGAAATGATAAAAGCTTTTGTCCCCACATACATTAAAGGTCCCTTTGAAGGGCACATGCACTTTGTGATTGTGGTTTCAGGGGAAACCAGTGAAGACAGCACAGCTGGAGGGGCCACTAACAGATCAGCCTTTTAGCTCTTTCTTCATTAGATCATTTAAGGCTTAAAAGTCCCTCAAGAAACATAATCAACGGATTATTCACCTGTAAATAGCCTTCCTAATACATCTGGTGGTTAGAACAGGGTATTTTCCTCTCCAGACAATATGTTTGTAGACCACCTGTTTCCCGAACATGCTTTTGGTTAATTCTCCTGGATCTCTTCTCCATCCAGGCTCAACTTTTTCCACGACGTCCCTGATTTCCGGGTGCTGGCCTGTGGAGGTGACGGTACTGTGGGTTGGATCCTGGATTGTATAGGTAGTATTATTCTAACCTTTGGACCTGAAACACAAATGTGTATTGACAGGAAAATTACTGTTGCTTTAAGCCTCCTCTAAAGGCATTAATCTTCATTTTTGCTGTTGGTATTACGGATGAGATTAGAGGGTTTTGCCACTGTAGAATTATAATCCATCAGGGCAGGAAATGCAATCAGTTTTCTGCTATCATGAGCTTAAAAAACATTTTGCTTTGATCATAAATAATAAAATTGAAGTTTCCATATCACAGGCCAGCAACAGTATTTGACTTTCTGTGTCTTGTATGCAGATAAGGCTAACTTTGCCAGACACCCTCCAGTGGCCATCCTCCCTCTGGGCACAGGAAATGACCTGGCACGATGCTTACGCTGGGGAGGAGGTGAGAACTTTCTAAGGTTTCTGTTGCACAAATCTGCATGTCCGAGTAAATCTTTGCTCTAGTATCCTAAAGGTTAATGCATTTCCACATACACTGCACATGTACTGTATGTAAATGTGTTAAAAGAGGAGCAGCTATGACTATATCCCTAACCCTACATGCATCAGAGTGAGTGCATGTTTTAGAAGCAGCTTCTAATTTTGTTCTTCCTACACTTTCCTGTCCTGCGGTTTACAAAAAGGTTCTGTTCTGTTTCG